CATCCTCCATCACCACAGCACCACTATAATAATACCACTCCTCCATCACCACATCACCACTATAATAAGGACACGCCTCCATCACCACATCACCCACTATAAATGACACTCCCCACACCACATCACCACTAGAATGAATGACCACGCCCCATCACCACATCACCACGATAATAATAACACGTCCTCCAGCACCACAGCACCACGAGAAGAAAAACCCGAGCACCCAAGCACCACGAGAAGAAGACACACGCCGCCAGCACCACAGCAAACACGAGAAGAAGAACACGCCGCCAGCACCACAGCACCACGAGAAGAAGAACACGCCGCCAGCACCACAGCACCACGAGAAGAAGAACACGCCGCCAGCACCACGAGAAGAAGAACAGCCGCGAGCACCACAGCACCACGAGAAGAAGAACACGCCGCCAGCACCACGAGAAGAAAACACGCCGCGAGCACCACAGCACCACGAGAAGAAGAACACGCCGCCAGCACCACAGCACCACGAGAAGAGAAAACACGCCGCCAGCACCACAGCACCACGACAAGAAGAACAAGCCGCCAGCACACAGCACCACGAGAAGAAGAACACGCCGCGAGCACCAAGCACCACGAGAAGAAGAACACGCCGCCAGCACCACAGCACCACGAGAAGAAGAACACGCCGCGAGCACCACAGCACCACGAGAAGAAGAACACGCCGCCACCACCACAGCACAACGAGAAGAAGAACACGCCGCCAGCACCACAGCACCACGAGAAGAAGAAACACGCGCCAGCACCACGAGAAGAAGAACACGCCGCGAGCACCACAGCACCACGAGAAGAAGAACAACGCCGCGAGCACCACAGCACCACGAGAAGAAGAACACGCCGCCAGCACCACGAGAAGAAGAACACGCCGCGAGCACCACAGCACCACGAGAAGAAGAACACGCCGCCAGCACCACAGCACCACGAGAAGAAGAAACACGCCGCCAGCACCACAGCACCACGAGAAGAAGAACACGCCGCGAGCACCACAGCACCACGAGAAGAAGAACACGCCGCCAGCACCACGAGAAGAAGAAACGCGCCAGCACCACAGCACCACGAGAAGAAGAACACGCGCCAGCACCACAGCACCACGAGAAGAAGAACACGCCGCCAGCACCACAGCACCACGAGAAGAAGAACACGCCGCCAGCACCACGAGAAGAGAACACGCCGCGCAGCACCACAGCACCACGAGAAGAAGAACACGCCGCGAGCACCACAGCACCACGAGAAGAAGAACACGCCGCCAGCACCACGAGAAGAAAGAACACGCGCGAGCACCACAGCACCACGAGAAGAAGAACACGCCGCCAGCACCACAGACCACGAGAAGAAGAACACGCCGCCAGCACCACAGCACCAGAGAAGAGAACACGCCGCGAGACCACAGCACCACGAGAAGAAGAACACGCCGCCAGCACCACGAGAAGAAGAACACGCCGCCAGCACCACAGCACCACGAGAAGAAGAACACGCCGCCAGCACCACAGCACCACGAGAAAGAACACGCCGCCATCACCACAGCACACGAGAAGAAGAACACGCCGCAGCACCACAGCACCACGAGAAGAAGAAACACGCCGCCAGCACAGCACCACGAGAAGAAGAACACGCCGCCAGCACCACATCACCACGAGAAGAAAAACACCTCCAACCACAGAACCACGATAAGAAAAAACACCCGCCAGCACCACATCACCACTAGTAAGAAGAACACGCCCATGCACCACAGCACCACGAGAATGAAGAAACACGCCGCCAGCACCACAGACACGAGAAAAACACGCCGCGAGCACCACAGCACACGAGAAGAATAACACGCCTCCAGCACCACAGCACCACGAGAAGAAGAACACGCCCAGTCACCACACACCACGAGAAGAAGAACACGCCGCAAGCACCACATCACCACTATAATAATAACACTCCTCCATCACCACATCACCACTATAATAATAACACTCCTCCATCACCACATCACCACTATAATAATAACACTCCTCCATCACCACATCACCACTATAATAATAACACTCCTCCATATAGACACGCTCCATATAGACACGCTCCATATAGACACGCTCCATATAGACACGCTCCATACAGACACGCTCCGTATAGACACGCTCCATATAGACACGCTCCGTATAGACACGCTCCATATAGACACTCTCCATATAGACACGCTCCATATAGACACGCTCCGTATAGACACTCTCCGTATAGACACGCTCCGTATAGACACGCTCCGTATAGACACGCTCCGTATAGACACGCCACGTATAGACACGTTTTCCATATAGACCACGCTCCATATAGACACGCTCCATATAGACACGCCTCCATATAGACACGCTCCGTATAGACACGCTCCGTATAGACACTCCATATAGATACGCTCCATATAGACACGCTCCATATAGACACGCTCCGTATAGACACGCTCCATATAGACACGCTCCATATAGACACGCTCCATATAGACACGCTCCATATAGACACGCTCCATATAGACACCTCCATATAGACACGCTCCATATAGACACGCTCCATATAGACACGCTCCATATAGACACGCTCCATATAGACATTCTCCATTGGCTGATAAGGAGAGAGGGCCATAGGTGGCCATTAAAACCAAGAAAGTAAACACGCACGCGCGCGCACAAAAACACATGCATACACACACACACACATATACACACACACACACAAAAAACACACCAACACACAAAACAACAAACACACACACAAACACAACACACATACACACACAACCTACAACACACACACCACACACACACACATATACACACACACACACACACACACACACACACACACATATACACACACACACACAAACATATACACACACACTACCTTGTACCCCTGCACATGGACTCAGTACTCTGGTCTGTATAAAGCCAAGTTATCGTTACTCATTGTGTATTTATTCCTTGAGTTTTTATTTATCTATCTTTCTCTCTGCGTTGTTGGGAACGTCCCTTAGGTAAGCATCTCACTGTTGGTATACACCTGTTGTTTAGGAAACGTGATAAATACAATTTGATTTGATTTGACACACACACACACACATACACACATTACATACACTCAAACACACAAAACACACACAAACATGAAAATTGACACCACACACACACACACACACACCAGTCCAAATGTGTCACTTTACCTTGAGACATCCTTAGTTCTCTACCATTCCAGTCAGCTGTCTCTCTATCACTAACGTGTAATCATCAGGACAAGGACGATGTCATTGTGACAATGTCACACCTACGGCCACCGTACACTGCTTCTTTTTAACATAGCCTCCTTGACACACTGCAGATTACACAACAACACTGCAGATTACACATCAACACTGCAGATTACACATCAACACTGCAGATTACACAACAGCATTGCAGATTACACATCAACACTGCAGATTACACATCAACACTGCAGATTACACATTAACACTGCAGATTACACAATAACACTGCAGATTACACATCAACACTGCAGATTACACATCAACACTGCAGATTAAACATCAACACTGCAGATGACACATCAACACTGCAGATTACACATCAACACTGCAGATTACACATTAACACTGCAGATTACACAATAACACTGCAGATTACACATCAACACTGCAGATTACACATCAACACTGCAGATTACACATCAACACTGCAGATTACACATCAACACTGCAGATGACACATCAACACTGCAGATTACACATAACAATTTTCAGATTACACATACACTTGCAATACACGCAGATTACACAATAACACTGCAGATTACACATAACACTTGCAGATTACACATCAACACTGCAGATTACACATCAACACTCTGCAGATTACACATTAACACTGCAGATTACACATCAACACTCTCTGCAGATTACACATCAACACTGCAGATGACACATCAACACAGCAGATTACACATTAACACTGCAGATTACACATCAACACTCTCTGCAGATTAACATCAACACTGCAGATGACACATCAACACTGCAGATGACACATTAACACCTGCAGATTACACATAACACTGCAGATTACACATTAACGCTCTGCAGATTACACATCAACACTGCAGATGACACATCAACACAGCTATCTGCAGATTACACATCACTGAAAACACTCAACACTGGATCACATTAACACATGCAGATTAACATACAACACATGAGGATGACATGAAAATGGGACAATCAAGGTTACATTAAACTGGATTCCAGTTTAGACATGTGTGACATGATTACAACTGCAATGAAATCAACACTCAATTACACATAACTGCGATGGAAGATTAAGCAAGTTAGCATAACATTGGGTGATTAACTCTCTGCAGTACACATAAACGGTTGAAATATCACATGCAGATACCATTAGATATCCCAATACACATACCACAGTGACAATCAACATGCAGTGGACCTTACATGCTAGTTTTCACTTCAACATGCGTGATCACTTACTGACAGCCAGATTACACATTTACACTGCGAGAACATCAACAGCACACAGAATTTTTACACCTCAACACTTGCAGATGACCATTTAAACCCTTACCCATGAATACAAGAACCTATGGGAGTGGGAAGAGGCAGTACTTAAACTTTGCCTGTAGTTGACATGTGACATGATACAATGTCATATGAATCCATGGACCAATAGCTGCTGGAAGCTACAGCACATGGTCGCCTTGGGGTGATGTTCTGCTCTGCTACTACTAAAGTGTTGAAATATCCATCAGATGCCCATTAGATATCCACAAACTACAATACGCACAGTTAAGAGCGTTGGACCTTTGCTTATTTGTCATTTCAATATGTTGGTGATAACTTTCTGTAGCGGCCACGCACATATTTTACCGTGAGAACTCAACATGCACACTATAACTTTTTTTCCTCTCCCTTGCAGTTTCCCCATTTTTGAGAACCCTTACCCCATGGACATCCACGAATCTCATGTCACCTGCACGGCCTACTTTGCTGAGTGCCCTCCTGACATCATCCCCGTCCTCTACTCCATAGGAGCCAAGCAGAAGAAGACAGGCTACAGCCACAAGGTACGCTACAGGTCATAGGTCAGACAAAGCTAAAACAAAAAAAGCTAAATTCAAATCCTGAACTTATTTAAAAATCCATGACCAACTGTCTTATTCCTGGCAGGAGTGGCCAGTGAGTGGCGGTACATGGACGATAGGTTCACAGACCTACCCAGAGGTCATCGTCACAGGGTGAGTCAGTTGGTTCCATACTGTTGGAGAACTATCACGCAGTGGGCTGGTTCTATTCATTCAGACGGGAAGTAAGGAGACTTTGTTGTGTGTGAACTATCACGCAGTGGGGCTGGTTCTATTCATTCAGACAGGAAGTAATAAAGGTTTCCTATGCTCCCCTGGTGGTTGTCAATGATAAAAGCAGTAGAGTCTCGTTCAGTATTGGACATAGACCGTATTCTTGACCTTTTCCCCTGTCTTCCATTCTTTATGCAGACACGCAGACGGAACCGTAAAGTTTTGGGATGCCTCTGCTAGTAAGTTTTCTCCCCGTCTCTCTCCCACCCTGTTCTCACGTTGAATATCAACAACACTGACACTACTATAACTCTCATCAACAATACTAACACTACTATAACTCTCATCAACAATACTAACACTACTATAACTCTCACCAACAATACTTACACTACTATAACTCTCACCAACAATACTAACACTACTATAACTCTCATCAACAATACTAACACTACTATAACTCTCTTCAACAATACTAACACTACTATAACTCTCATCAACAATACTAACACTACTATAACTCTCACCAACAATACTAACACTACTATAACTCTTATCAAGAACACTGATTCTAATTACATAAGAACTCAATTTATATATGTATAAACTTGACTTGTTTGTGTGACCAGTTACCCTCCAGATGCTGTACAAGCTGAAGACGTCTAAGGTGTTTGAGAAGCCCAAGGCGGGTGAAGGCCGGGCGGGTGAGCTGGCAGAGGAGGACCCCTACGCCGTTCAGATGGTCAGGTGGTGCCCGCAGAGCCGTCTCTTTTGTGTGGTGGGCATCTCTGCCCACGTCATCCTCTATCGCTTCAGCAAACACGACGCCGACACACAGATGGTGGTGAGTGGAGGAGGGAAGTTTCCTAAACCCGCTTCCCCAGTCAATACACCTGATTCGACTTATAAAAAAGACTTGATGATTAGTTTACTTGTTGAACGAGATGTTCTTGTTGTGAATTGACAAGGTGTGTGTTTGTGTGGGCATTCACAGCTGATCTCAAATCAAATCATATCAAATTGTATTTGTCACATACGCGTGTTTGGCAGATGTTATTGCGTCTGCAGCGAAATGCTTGTGCTTGTAGCTCCGACAGTGCAGTAATATCTAACAAGTAATATCTAACAATTTCACCACATATACCCAATACACACAAACCTAAGTAAGGAATGGAATTTAAGAATATATACATATATAGACAAGCAATGACAGAGCTGCATGGACTAAGATACAGTAGAATATTATAGAATAGAATACAGTATATACATGAGATGAGTAATGCAAGATATGCAAACATTATTAAAGTGATCTGTGTGTGCATGTGTTTCCCTGTAAATCATTTCACTGTAAATATATAGCCTACCCACATAAAATAAATACTGCAGTTTACTATAGAATACTAAAGTACTTACTATATAATTCTGTAGTAAACTGTAGCATACTGTAAAATGCTATACTACATACTGTAGTGTCCCTCGGTCATGTGAAGTACTTACTATAGAATGTTGTAGTATAGATTACTACAGTATTGTACACATAAAACACTGTAGTAAATACTACAGAAATGTCCGCAAAAAAACACTACACTTCGCAAAAACACGAAACATTTGTAACTATAGGTAGAACTACAGTATTTGATTTGCATAAACCCTGTCCCTGTCCCCTCCCCCAATATCCCAATTTGTGCCACCCATAAGTGAGAAACCCACATGCCAAGTATAGACCATATACTGTGTTCCATACAGGTTATAGAAAAGAGCAGAAGCTCTGAACTCTCTGTTTCAGAACACAGTCCTACCTACAGGTTAAGGAAAACCTTCTATTTTAATATTTCTCCAGTATGTTTCCTCAAGGAGAAAGCCTCCACTTCTATGCCAAAGATAATAAAGCAAAAAACGACTTAAGTAAATACTACAGTAATGTCCCCAGAAACACTACAGTAAATACCACAGTATACTACATCCTGCAAAAACACTACAGTAATTACTATAGTATATACTACTCTTTTTTTTACTACAGTATTTATACTATAGTAAACTGTAAAGAATACAGTATGCTGCAGTAAATACTACAGTAATCCGCAAAAACACTACAGTGAATAGTCCAGTATTCCTATCATAGTATGCACTATAGTATTTCTTCATGTGGGTATGAATTGCATTGTATCATTCTGTGATTTTCTATATTATGTATTTTGTATTTTTAAGCAAATGCATTTTCCCCACGGTGGGATAATAAAGTTGATCTAATCTAATCTAATTGACAGTCGCTAGAAGTGCGTCTGCAGTTTGATTCGGAGGACGTCATCCCCCTGTCAGAGACAGAGAACAACCCGTGTTTCTCGGACCCCAGTTCCAAATCCCCCAAGACGCCCGGTAGCCCCGGCAACGGCTCACAAGACAGCCTCCCCTGCCTCAAGTGAGTCACTCCTGTTAGACACCTCAACAGGGTCTACCAAGGTGTCGCTGTGATGGTAAAATTGTTTTATGCGAAGCTCTCTCTCTCCTTCTGCAGTAACTTTCAAACTCCCTTCCCCCTCTATCTCCCCATCCCTCTCTGTATGTCAGGGTGAAGAATCGTCCAGTGCGTATGCCCCCGGGGTACCAGGCTGAGTTGGTGGTGCAGCTGCAGTGGGTAGATGGAGAGCCCCCCCAGCAGATCACCAGCCTGGACATCAACTCTGCCTACGGGCTGTGAGTGACTCTATGTGTCTCTAAACCCTTTCCACCTTTCACTTCCACACCTCACGCCATCCATCTCTCCCTCACACTCTGTTGTTTTCCATTCACACACACACACTCTCCTCTCCCCGCCCCTCCATCTGTCTGTCTGTCCCCTGTTCTCATGTTCTCTCATTCCTTTTCTGTCTATCTCTCCATCTCTCCATCTCTCCATCTAGCCCTTTCTTTCTTTCTTTATTTTGTTCTATGTCTATATAACACAAACACACACAATCATGTTTTCATTTCCCTCCCCTCCCCATTTCCCTCTCTGCCACCTTCTCTCTGTCCCTCTCTGTCTCTGACTATGTCCCTCTCTGTCTCTGACTTTGTCCCTCTCTGTCTCTGTCTCTGTCTCTGTCTCTGTCTCTGTCTCTGTCTCTGTCTCTGTCTCTGTCTCTGTCTCTGTCTCTGTCTCTGTCTCTGTCTCTGTCTCTATCCCTCTCTGTCTCTGTCCCTTTCTGTCTCTGTCTATGTCCCTCTCTGTCTCTGTCCCTCTCTGTCTCTGTCCCTTTCTGTCTCTGTCTCTGTCTCTGTCTCTGTCTCTGTCTCTGTCTCTGTCTCTGTCTCTGTCTCTGTCTCTGTCTCTGTCTCTGTCTCTGTCCCTCTATGTCTCAGTCCCTTTCCGTCTCTGTCCCTCTCTGTCTCTGTCTCTGTCTCTGTCCCTTTCTGTCTCTGTCCCTCTCTGCTCTGTCCCTGTCCCTCTCTGTCTCTGTCTCTGTCCCTCTCTGTCTCTGTCCCTCTCTGTCTCTGTCCGTTTCTGTCTCTGTCCCTTTCTGTCTATGTCCCTTTCTGTCTCTGTCCCTCTCTGTCTCTGTCCCTCTCTGATTCTCTCTGTCCCTCTCTGTCTCTGTCCCTCTCTGTCTGTCTCTGTCCCTCTATGTCTGTCTCTGTCCCTCTCTGTCTGTCTCTGTCCCTCTCTGTCTCTGCCTCTGTCTCTGTCCCTCTCTGTCTCTGTCTATGTTCCTTTCTGTCTCTGTCCCTATCTGTCTCTGTCCCTGTCCCTTTCTGTCTCTGTCCCTCTCTGTCTCTCTCTGTCTCTGTCCCTTTCTGTCTCTGTCCCTTTCTGTCTATGTCCCTTTCTGTCTCTGTCCCTCTCTGTCTCTGTCCCTGTCCCTTTCTGTCTCTGTCCCTCTCAGTCCCTCTCTGTCCCTCTCTGTCTCTGTCCCACTCTGTCTGTCTCTGTCCCTCTCTGTCTGTCTCTCTCCCTCTCTGTCTCTGCCTATGTCTCTGTCCCTGTCTGTCTCTGTCTATATCTATGTCCCTCTCTGTCTGTCTCTGTCTATCTCCCTTTCTGTCTCTGTCTCTTTCTCTGTCCCTTTCTGTATCTGTCTCTGTCCCTGTCCGTCTCTGTCTGTCTCTGTCCCTCATAATTTTATTCATCAGCCCAGCTGCTATTTTCCAATAAATGGAATAAAGCAAACGCCTAAATGCATGGCATATAATCAATGTTTTTCTTCTGTTTCACACTAATATACAGTTGAAGTCGGAAGTTTACATACGCTTAGTTTGGAGTCATTAAAACTCGTTTTTCAACCACTCCACACATTTATTGTTAACAAACTATAGTTTTGGCAAGTCCGTTAGGATTACTTGCATGACACAATACATTTTTCCAACAATTGTTTACAGACTGATTATTTCACTTATAATTCACTGTATCACAATTCCAGTGGGTCAGAAGTTTACATACACTAAGTTGACCGTGCCTTTAAACAGCTTGGAAAATTCCAGAAAATGATGTCATGGCTTTAGAAGCTTCTGATAGGGTAATTGACATAATTTGAGTCAATTGGAGGTGTACATTTACATTTTGCAGATGCTCTTATCCAGAGCGACTTACAGTTAGTGAGTGCATACATTATTTTCTTCATACTAGCCCCCCGTGGAAATCGAACTCACAACCCTGGCGTTGCAAACGCCATGCTCTACCAGCTGAGCTACATCCCTGCCGGCCTTTCCCTCCCCTACCCTGGACGACGCTGGGCCAATTGTGCGCCGCCCCATGGGTCCCCCGGTCGCGGCCGGCTACAACAGAGAGATCTCTAGTGGCACAGCTAGCACTGCGATGCAGTGCCTTAGACCACTGCGCCACTCGGGAGTGTACCTGTGGATATATTTCAAGGCCTACCTTCAAACTCAGTGCCTCTTTGCTTGACATCATGGGAAAATCAAAAGAAATCAGCCAAGACCTCAGGAAAAAAATGGTAGACCCCCCACAAGTCTGGTTCATCCTTGGGAACAATTTCTAAACGCCTGAAGGTACCATGTTCATCTGTACAAACAATAGTACGCAAGTATAAACACCATGGGACCACGCAGCCGTCACACTGCTCAGAAAGGAGACACGTTCTGTCTCCTAGAGATGAACGTACTTTGGTGCGAAAAGTGCAAATCAATCCCAGAACAACAGCAAAGGACCTTCTGAAGATACTGGAGGAAACGGGTACAAAAGTATTTATATCCACAGTAAAACGAGTCCTATATCGACACAACCTGAAAGGCCGCTCAGCAAGGAAGAAGCCACTGCTCCAAAACCGCCATAAAAAAGCCAGACTACGGTTTGCAACTGCACATGATCATACTTTTTGGAGAAATGTCCTTTGGTCTGATGAAACAAAAATAGAACTGTTTGGCCATAATGACCATCGTTATGTTTGGAGGAAAAAGGGGAACTTGCAAGCCGAAGAACACCATCCCAACCGTGAAGCACGGGGGTGGCAGCATCATGCTGTGGGGGTGCTTTGCTGCAGGAGGGACTGGTGCACTTCACAAAATAGATGGTCGCAAATGGGTCTTCCAAATGGACAATGACCCTAAGCATACTTCCAAAGTTGTGGCAAAATGGCTTAAGGACAACAAAGTCAAGGTATTGGAGTGGCCATCACAAAGCCCTGACCTCCATCCTATAGAAAATTTGTGGGCAGAACTGAAAAAGCGTGTGCAAGCAAGAAGGTCTACAAATCTGACTCAGTTACACCAGCTCTGTCAGGAGGAATGGGCCAAAATTCACCCAAAATGTTTGACCCAAGTTAAACAATTTAAAGGCAACGATTCCAGATACTAATTGAGTGTATGTAAACTTCTGACCCACTGGGAATGTGATGAAAGAAATAAAATCTGAAATAAATCATTCTCTCTACTATTATTCTGACATTTCACATTCTTAAAATAAAGTGGTGATCGTAACTGACCTAAGACAGGGAATTTTTACTAGGATTAAATGTCAGGAATTGTGAAAAACTGAGATTAAATTGATTTGGCTAAGGCGTATGTCAATTTACGACTTCAACTGTATGTTTCATAACACCCAGACTCATCTATAATTTAAGCGCAGCAGAAGGAAGCTGTAATCAGTGAAACATGATTCAAAAAGTAGGAAAAATGTGTCTTGTATGCGCTGGTTTGCTGGAAAAGAGCCTGTTTTGACAGAGGAGAGAAGCTTTTAACTGATTCTCTACAGTTAATCAATAGATGGCCTCAAGGCAATTTACAAACTTATGTTCTCCAGAGTTGGTAGAAAAAGCTGATACATCCGCAGCTCTTTATACAAAGAGTGTACAGTGCTGGAGGAATACACAGTAAAGGTCACTAACCTAGCTCCCCAAAAGCTATTCAAATGTTAAAGTGGGTTTTAATAATCTCTTCTGTTTGTTCTGTGTCCTCTCTAGGCACTGGTAGGTCTTCACCCCACACATACACTGGGATTATGTTACAATGTCTCTACATCTGCATACCACTTGGTATGAAGAAGCAATGTATTGAGCTGCATTCTAACCGATATTCTAGTGTTGACATTGGAATCAATGTATGTTTCTCGGAACTGGAGTGATGACATGTCTTCCTACAGTATGTAATGCTGTATGAACAAGGTTGTTATTGGCACAATACAGGAAATCATGCAGGTGGATGCTTTACCAGTCCATTTAAATGATTATGCTTTACCAGTCCATTTCAATGGTTATGCTTTACCAGTCCATTTCAATGATTATTCAACATTTAAATGTGGAACACATACTATTCCCAAATTTGCAGGGTCAGAAAATGTAGAATCCCTGATCCCATGATCTCTGAATAATGTTTGTATGCGAGGATGTCTCCTGAATACTGCCCGTGTGATTACCTGTGTGTTTTATAAGGGTTTAATGGACAGACGAGCTTCTGGTAAATTGCATTACCATATTCCATTATTCAATGGGTTGTTACCATACATAATGTTGTCCTAGGTAGACTGGGTTTGTCCATAATATATTCCCCTACACTCTAAGAAAAAAATTGTTCCAAAAGGCTTTTTTGGCTATCCACATAGGAGAACACTTTTTGGTTCCAGGTAGAAACCTTTTGGGTTCCATGTAGAACCCTCTGTAGAAAGGTTTCTACAGTGGTTCTTCCTTTAAAGGTTTCGAGCTTATGGTAGATGGTGGCAGATTGTGGTAAATTGTGTCATTCTGTCATTGCACCACACTGTCACAAGGGGGAGTTAGAACGCTGATCTATCGGTAGTCTAAAATGTGGCACAAATTGACTATCTTTTCATAAATTAATGGAGGTGTGAATGTTTCTGTCCGGAGAGTCTCTCTTCTCTGGCACTAGAGTCCTGCATCAGGCAACAACAAAACAATTGTTGCCGGTTGTCCTGGAGTTGAGAGAGAACTTGGGTAAATACAATGGCGCATTTACACTTGACATGTGGACTGATGATTTTCTTAAAAAATAGACACGGTGGGCTTTTGGTTTCTCTCCCTCTAAAAACAGAAATAAATAATTCTAAATAACAAACTGGCTTTATTTACAACAGTGTGAAAGAGTGATAGCCCCTCTATATAAAGTGAGTTTCTGAAACACGGAGTCCTTTACTGATGTGAAGAAGAAACTGAATGAAAGAGAGTCCAGGGAGGATAGGGAGTCCAGGGAGAACAGGGAGGATAGGGAGTCCAGGGAGAACAGGGAGGACAGGGAGGATAGGGAGGACATGGAGGACCAGGGAGGATAGGGAGTACAGTGGGACAGGGCTGATAGTTAGTACAGGTGCTAATATGGAGGACAGGGAGGACAGTGTTATGATAGGTATGACAGGGGATGACAGTGATGATAGGGATGACCGGGAGGACAGGAGGACAGGGAGGTACAGGGAGAGAGTGAAGGACAGAGGAGGACAGGGCGGACAGTTGAGGACAGGGAGGAGAGGGAGGACATGAGACAGGGAGGTGACGGTATGATATTTATTACAGGGTATTAGATGGATTAACATTGAAGGACAGGGATGGACAGTAGGACAGTGATTAGAGGGATGTAGAGGGATGACATTTAGTACATTTGATTACCGTTATGATATGTAGTACATTTCGTACAGGTAGTACATTGATGACATGGAGTGAGGGAGGACAGGGAGGACAGTGATGACAGGGAGGAGATGGAGGACAGGGAGGACGGGAGGACAGGGAGGACAGGAGGCGGAGGACAGGGAGGACAGTGGAGGAGAGGGATGACAGGGAGAACATGGGATACATGGAGGAGAGGTAGGACAGTTATGTATCGGGAGGACATGGAGGACAGGGAGGGACAGGGAGAACAGGGAGGACTGGAGTACGGGAGGACAGGAGAGAGGGAGGACCGGGCAACAGGAGACAGGGATGATAGGGAGGACAGGGAGAGAGGGAGGACAGGGAGGCAGGGAGGAAGCTGGAGGACAGTGAGGTCAGGGATGACAGTGGAGGGAGATGGAGACCGGGATGTGGGAGAGGTAGTACCTTGAGGAGATTTATTACCCTGTGAGGACAGTTATTTACAGAGTATTACCTTTATTCTAGTTTATTACAGATTTCCATTATGACACTTTAGTGCCAGTTCTTGCATCTTTCTTACACTGTATCACTTTACTTCCTGTAGTAAATGTTCTTCACATTTCTTATCTTTCTATCCTTTCTCAACACTTTCGTTGGTTACCTTGCTTCTCTTCTCTTCCCTTTCGTTCTTTCTCACCTTTTCTTCCTTTCGTACAGGGAAGGAGGGGAGGACATGGAGGGCAGGGAGGACAGGTAGGCGAGGGAGGACAGGGAGGAGAGGGGAGGACAGGAGGACAGGTCTGACAGGAGGAGAGGGAGGACCGAGGTGACAGGGGAGGATATGGGGGACAGGGAGGACAGGGCGGACAGGGAGGACAGGGAGATATTCGTCCCGCCTTTCTTAACCACAACACCTGCTTTCTTCCCCTTTATTAGGAGGGAGGACAGGAGGAGCAGGTAGGGAAATCATTGAGGACAGGGATGGAGAGTGGGACAAGGATGACGAGGTAGGACCGGTGAGTAGAAATGTATTACTTGATTACATTTTTTATACAGTTGTAGCAGTGATTTCTATTTATTACATGTTTACGATGTATTATCATTTATTACATATGTGACAGGTAGTATAGTTTTGGACAGTGAGGACATTTAGGGCCAGGGAGACATGTAAGCCATTGGAGACATTAGGACATGGAGGATAGGGTGTACATGGAGTACCTTTTATTGTACATTCTTCCAAAGGGAGGTTGTAAAAATATTGCCTATATTTTCAAGACCTGAGCTACTTCATTTATTTATGAAATGTACTTTCACACATCCATTAATTTACAAAAGGATATTCTAATAGCTCGGCTAGGTGTGAAAAATCCCCCAATATGTGCCAGAGTTTAGACTACTGATAAATGCTGCTGTCAGTCAAGAGTTGAGTCCTATTGCAAAGTGTAGCCTAATGGCCAAAAAAAGGACAAACTTGCAATGTATTAAATGCTTAAATACTCAAAAGTTTTACATTTCAAACTCTATATCACAGACCAGATTAACCCCTACAAATATATTTAATTTATTATAATCCACATAATAATTGCTAAATACATTCAGAAAGAATGTGTCTTTAACCCTGCATTATAATTTAAGCAAATGTAATATATTTGTTGAAGCTTGGCCTATTTAGTAGGCTATTTTGCAGCATAAATCTATATTTGTCAGCAGAAGGCTGAGTGACTCATTCGTGGCTTTGGATCAAAATAAATAAGTACCAACATTCTTTCTGATCGTCTTTAATAAATAAATGTTTTGACCAAGTTAATCTGCTCATGTTGTGTGTGTTCAATTATTTGTGACATTGTGGTTACAATGAAGAATGTAAACAAAATAAATCAAAAATACTTATTTTTTTGTAAGATTTTATTTTATATGTTTTTTATAATACAAAACATACACATACACATGACATGGAAACCAAAAGGGTTTTACGTGTAACCAAAATGTTTTTCTCAAAGGGTTCTCTTATGGGGACAGCCAAATAACCCTTTTAGGTGCTAGATAGCACCTTTTTTTCCAAGTGCGTACTGTATACTAAGATGGCCATTACATTAGCTATTCTTCAGGTTATGGGTTTCGAACCTCATGTTTTTCAGGTACCCCATTCCGTTTCACACTTACTAGACTTGCTCTCACTCTTTTCTCCACCCTCTGTGTGTGTGTGTGTGTGTGTGTGTGTGTGTGTGTGTGTTTGTGTGTGTGTGTGTGTGTGTGTCAGTCTAGCGTTTGGGAGCTGCAATGGTGTGGCGGTGGTGGACTACATTCAGAAGACCATCCTGATGTGTGTGAGCACGCTGGACCTGTACGGAGCCGCTGACCCCTACCAACGCCTCACACGCTCCCCACGCAGGAACAGACAGTCCACCTCAGGTATGGGGAGCACACACCCTGTGTTCCTCACACATACACACACACCACACACACACACACACCACAAAAAGGACTCGTCCCCCCCCTCTCTTTCTCTTCTCTTCTCTCACCCATCTCTCTCCTCTCCTCCCCTCTCTCCTCACCCTCGTGCTCATCTCTCCCTCAAACTCATCTCTCCCCCCTCTGCTCTACTCTCCCCCCCTCTCTCTGCTCTCCCCCAGGAAGCGGGCCGCTCGAACTCTACGTCTCTAGTCCTCTCGTTGCTCCTCTCTCTCTCCCCCACGCATCCCACCCCTCTGTAGCATGAGATAACTCTCCGCCCAAGTCTCGTCTTCGTCACAATCTCATGCCCCTCGCCTCTCTGCTTCCCCCCTGGTCAACTGTCTCTGAACGGCGGGCGAGGTCCGATCCCGGGCGGGTCCACGCTCCGTCGGCCCTGCCCAGACCTAGCCGCGTGGAGTAAGGGATCTACCTTGCATTACGTCTTCTTCATACGCCCCGCTCTCCTCCTGCTCTCGTAATGCTCCTCCCCTCTCTCCTTCCTCTCTCTCTCTCTTTCCGTCCCCTTCTCAGGTTTTCTCTCTCTGGCGGCTCTCACTCTCTCTCCCCTCCGTCTCTCTCTTCTAAGGGGGTATAGTAAACTCTTCTCTTCTCTCTTCCGCACCCTCCGCGCGGGTACAAAGTCCAACCCACTCTTCTCCCCTCTCTCGTCTCTCAGCCCTCTCGTCTCTCTCGACTTCTCTCTCGTGGTCCTCCCTCTCTCTCACTCGTCTCTCTACGTGCTCTTGCCTACAGTCGCGTTCTGCTCGTGCTATAGGGTCTTTGAAGGTCTCGTCCCGAATGGCCCCTCCTCGGCTTCTCGTCCTCTTGCTCCTTTCGTTAAATGTGATCGTCCCTTTCCCCATTCTCTTATCATCTCTCCGTCCCCTTCTCGTTTCTCCTTCTCCTTGTCTCTCGATCCCCCCCTAGTATGCGATAGCGGTCTGAGTGTCGACAGAACTCAATCCGATAGGAAGATGAATCGCGACGTTACAGACAGGTTTGCCCCTCGGAAGGCTCGTGCGCCGCTCCATGAATAGGGGCGTGCCGTGCGATAGGGGAGTGGAGAGCGGGCATCGGGAGTCCGTACCTTGCTAGCAGACATCGTCTTCATGCTCTCCAACGCAGGATGCGTCTACTGAATTGGCGCCATTACTCTGCGTGTCTGAGTCTCCGAGCGTCTCTGGAAATCTCCTCCTCCGGGGCTCTCTCTCTCCAATCCTCTGTCGAGCATCCTCTTCTGCCTCTCTCTCTCCTCAGTCTCGAAGTTCGGGCCCTTCATCTCTGTGTAAGGAGAGTCGACGGGCTCCTCCGGCGCTCTTCGTATGGATCTCTTCTCTCACTCTCATCTTCTCTCGTCGGGCTTCATCTCCTCTGCACGTGCTTGTCCCAGCTTCCGTTCTGTGCGCTACCGCTCTCAGAATGGAGACGTCCCTCAACTCGTGACCTGGCATGACCTAGTGAATGGGACCTGGGTACGTGTCTCTTCGGGTCCAAGGCGTGCGACTTCAGTCGCTTTCAACCTCGAGCAATCACTCATCAATCCGCTCTTCTATGGAATGTTGCCTCGGACCTTGGCTCGTACGTATGCTCTATCATCGTCTCGCGCAAGCATCCCTCTCCCGGATAGACAGGAGCTCCCCTGCTGGCTTCCCATGCTGGCCCTCTCGACAATGCCCCCTCTACATGAGGCCCGCCCACAGGGGTGGGGGCGAGCTCCAAGTTCGCCGTGCACCTGAGCCACCACCCTCCCTAACAGGCCGCGACACCCCCCCCCGTTCTTTTGCGGGGTGTGCGCTTCTGCGCATGCCCCATGATGCCTCCCCTGCTCGGTCGTGACACAAGCGTGATCCACGTGCGAATGCTCGCCTCCCTCCGAGCGAGTATCATTGGCAGGGCGGCAAGAGGGTACGCTCCCTCTCTCTCGTTCTCCGTCTTGCCCCTCTCTCTCTCTCGATCGTTCCTTCCACTCTCGTTTGTGCAGCGATTTTCGAAACAACGTCTCTTCCGGAGGAGACCGTCTCTCTGCCAGTCATGGTGTTGGCGTTCTTCCGTACGTAGAGCCTCCATCAGGAGATCTCTCCAAATCGTATCAACGTCGAATCAATCATCGTGTACTCCGTATACCCCCTCAAAATCGAATGTGTCTCACTTCACCTCTCCACGGCCAGTGCTTGCGGTCTCTCTCCGGCTCTCTGGCCTCTCTTACATTGGCTCGTCCTTCATCACTGCCTCTTCGATCCCCAGTCATCTCCGACCTCAGTCTCGCGCTACTGACTCCCCGTATCCGGAGCGTCCGTTCGCGTCCCGTCTCTCTGTCGGTGTGCACTGGTGCACATCCCTGTCAGCGCCCTCAGACGATGTGGAATACTCATCAACTCTCGGCTCAAGTTCCGTTCTCGACTCCGGCAATATAAGCCCTCTCATCTCAGAATTCACAGGGACACCTTCGGTCCACCTCAAGTCGAGGGCGTCCTACTCTCGTCCACCGTCGAGGGGGATACGGCGTACTCGAGTCGTCCTAAACGACGTAGGGCGTAAATCGACGATGACGGGGTGCTAAAGATGATGTACCCATTGGGCAAAGGTGTTCTCCGACACAAGGACGTCGCTGATCTCTCTCACATCCTCAGGCCCCTTCAGCGTCCTCTCTCTCTCTGCATTCTCTCCGTTGCGTACTGCAATCGCTCTGCGCGTCTCTCAGATCCGATCTCTCCCTCTCAATTCAGAGGGGGTCAGATCGTTCGCGCCATGGGGACTCAACTTCTTTGTCCCTTCGTTCAGTACTCTCATGCCACTCATGCTCACAGTCGCGGTCTGGAGTCAAAGAAGGGGAGGACTGAACTCGAGGCGTGCTTCTCGTCCTGTCATCCTTCAGTCCCATAGTAGCCTCATAACTCCAAGGCGAAATCTGCAATGATGTGTGTTAGGCGTCCTTCAGCTCAGCATCTCGGATCAATCTGCCGGACCGTTCGGGGGGTCTCTCTCTCGATCTCTCTCTTCTCTCTGTTCTCGTCGTCTCTCAGTCCTCTATCTGCTGCTCTCTCTCTCCCCCTTGATTCTTTTTTAGTTTCTGGTTCTGTCGTGAACCGAATCCACTCTCCTCTATTTCTGTCTCTATGTCAGCTGTCCTTTCTTTCTCTTTCCTGTCTCTTTTCCTAACCTCCCTGTCTCTTTTCCTAACCTCCCTGTCTCTTTTCCTTACCTCCCTGTCTCTTTTCCTAACCTCCCTGTCTCATTTCCTAACCTCCCTGTCTCTTTTCCTAACCTCCCTTTCTCTTTTCCTAACCTCCCTGTCTCTTTTCCCAACCTCCCTGTCTCTTTTCCTAACCTCCCTGTCTCTTTTCCTAACCTCCCTGTCTCTTTTCCTAACCTCCCTTTTCTTTTTCCTTACCTATCCCTGTCTCTTTTCCAACCTCCCTGTCTCTTTTCCTTACCTCCCTGTCTCTTTTCCTCCTAACCTCCCGTCCGCTTTTTCCTACTCATCCCTTCCCTCTTTTCCTAACCTCCCTTTCTCTTTTCCCAACCTCCTGTTCGTTTCTTCCTAACCTCCCCTTCTCTTTCCTACTACCCTCCCTGTTCTCTTTCCGACCCTCCCTGTCTCCCTACAATACATATACAAAACAAAAACGCCCCCCCCTCCTATTCACAACCAACCAACCAATCACATGAGGTGCATGTGACCAGCTGCATTCCACGGTGGCATCATGTGCATGTTGTGGTTCTTTCAGTTACTTCTGCTTGAGCACTACTCTTAGATAAAAGCTACCGAAGCCCCTTTCAGACCAGGGTTCACTAACTGGTGGCCTGCCGGCCCAATTTGGCCTGTGGGGGATCTTATTTGGCCCCTCCCAACTTTTTGGGGGGAATTAACACTGTAAAAACAGCAGCAAATCAGTTCCAAGTGTTTTTTATTTGGAAGTCTTTTCCAAAGCATTCCAATGCAAAATAGAGAGATATATTTGATTGTATACAAATGTAAGCAAGATTTGCAATTATTATGTTTTAGTAAAATATGATATCTGTTTGGGCTTCTTGTTGTCAATTTGCAGTCTACAAATTATTTGTAATTATGTTCTGGCCCCCTGACCATCCGCTCAAGAACAAATCGGCCCGAGGTTGAATCTATACTGAAGAAAAAGATAAACGCAACATGCAACAATTTCCAAGATTTTATCTGAGTTACAGTTCATAGAAGGAAATCAGTCAATTGAAATAAATTCACTAGGCCCTAATCTATGGATTTCACATGACTGGGCCGGGGCACAGCCACTGGGGAGCCAGGCGCAGCCAATCAGAATTAGTTTCTCCCCACAAAAGGGCTTTATTTCAGACTCCTCAGTTTCATCAACTGTCCGGAAGGCTGGTCTCAGAAGATCCCGCAGGTGAAGAAGCCGGATGTGGAGGTCCTGGGCTGGCGTGGTTACACGTGGTCTGCGCATGTGATGCCGGTTGGACGTACTAACAAATTCTCTAAAACAACGTTGGAGGTGGCTTATGGTAGAGAAATAAACATTAAATTCTCTGGCAACAGCTCTGGTGGACATTCATGCAGTCAGCATGCTAATTGCAATCTCCCTCAAAACTTGAGACATCTGTGGCATTGTGTTGTGTGACAAAACTGCACATTTCAGTGGCCTTTTACTCTCCCTAGCACAAGGTGCACCTGTGTAATGATCATACTGTTTAATCAGCTTTTTGATATGCCACACCTGTCAGGTGGATCGATTATCTTGGCGAAGGATAAATGCTCACTAACAAGGATGTAACCAAATTTGTGCACAACATTTGAGAGAAATAAGCTTTTCTGTGCTAATGGAACATTTCTGGGATATTTTATTTCAGCTCATGAAATGTGGGACCCAATACATTATATTATGTTGCGTTTATATTTTTGTTCAGCATAGTTGATGATCCATGCTTTAGACTGACACCCTTCTCCTACTAATCTGGACTGGTGCTAGCAAGCTACTCACTGTGACTACACACTCCTCCTAGCCCCGTCCACCACTCCTCCCTCCCCCTCCACCACTCCTCCCCCCCTCCACCATTCCTCCCATCCCCCTCCACCACTCCTCCCTCCCTCCACCACTCCTCCCTCCTCCTCCACACTCGCCTCCCTCCCTCCCCCTCCAGCACTCCTCCCCTCCCTCCCCCTCCAGCACGCCTCCCTCCCTCCCTCCCCCTCCCCCCCCCCCCCCCCCCCCCTCCCCCCCCCCCCCCCACCCTCCTCCCCCCCCTCCCCCTCCCCCTCCCCCTCCCCCCCCCCTTCCTCCCTCCCTCCCCCCCCCCTCCCTCCCCCTCCCCTCCTCCCCCCCCCCAATTTCCCCCCTCCCCCCAATTCCCCCCTCCCCCCCCCCTTCCCCCCCCTCCCCCACTCCTCCTCCCCTCCCCCCCCCCCCTCCCCTTCCCCCCCCCCTTCCTCCTCCTCCCCACCCCTCCCCTCCCTCCCTCCCCTCCCCCTCCTCCCTCCCTCCCCCCCCCCCACCCCCTCCTCCCCCTTTCCTCCACCCCCCCCCTTCCCCCCTCCTCCCCCCTCCCCCTCCTTTCCCCTCGCCCCCCTCCACCCCTCTCCCCCCCCTCCCTCCACCCCCTCCCCCTCCCCCCCCCTTTTTTAAAAAAACCCCCCCCCCCCCTCCTCCTCCACCCTCCCCCCCTCCCCCTCCCCCCTCCCCCCCCCTCCCTCCTCCTCCCCCATCCCTCCCTCCCCCCTCCCCTCCCCCCCCCTCCCTCCCCCCCCCCCTCCTCCCCTCCTCCCTCCCCCGCCCCCCCCCCCCTCCCCCCCCCCCTCCTCCCCTTCCCCCCCCCTCCCCCCCCCCCCCCCCCTTTTCCCCCCCCCCCCCCCCCCTTTTCCCCCCTCCTATCCCCCCCATACTAGCGGTTTTTCCTCTACCCCCACATAGATTGAATATATTTATTTAGTGGGATCATTTAATCCGGGTTTCCTGTCTTTTTTTCTCCCCTGCTACCTACTGGGTTGCGCTTGCCCTTCACTTGTTTTTTTTTCACTCTGGGCCTTTGTGTTTTTTCTCCTCTCTCTCTCTCTCCCTCCTCCTCCTCCTCCTCCTCCTCTCCTCCCTCCCTCCCTCCCTCCCTCCCTCCCTCCCTCCCTCCCTCCCTCCCCTCCCTCCCTTCTGGTGTCTGTGGCTGCTGGTGTGGGCATGTGGGCTTGCCTGCAGACTTTTGCATGCGCAGCCTGTCTCACTTTTATTCTGATTCAAAGAAAAGGATCCGTACATCCTATCAGAGTAAGTTAGGCCTTCCTCAAGGCAAGGAGACTGGGAAGGGAGACATGAGGACAAGGAGACTTGTGCGGGAGACAAGGAGACAAGGAGACAAGGGAATAAGGAATCAAGGGGACAAGGAAACAGGGAGGCAAGAGGATTACGGCAAGGGGACATACCAGAGAGATGATTGGAATGACATTGATAGTTACTGAAACAGCGCTGAAACAGCTCGCCAAGAGTTAAAAACAAATCCCAGTGTTAGCAGAGCCATTATCAAATTAAATGCTACGGCTTTATCGGAACCTTTGTCATTATCGAATAAAAGTAAGTAATTAAAAATCCAAAATAGTCCAGTTATCTCAATATAGTGGGTCCTTTTGCCAAGGTCCCCTTGGAAAATTGTATCTCGTTTATGAAATGACTAAAATGTCAAAAATCCATGCCACAGTATACATTGCAAATGCAGCACAGCGATATGAGTGATGCCATTTCCAATGGTGACATAGAGACATGACACACATTCATATAATAAATATTATGTGTACATTTTATAGTTAGAGTCATGTTTTGTTTATTATTGACTTCTTTATGAGACATTTAATACACATTAAAAAAAAAACTAAAAACTAAACATTCATTTGATTAATTACGTCTACTGAAACATTTCAGGCTTTTGTTCCACTGCAGTTGATCAGTTGATTGATGGATTAATTAAAACTTCTCAGCTGAGTTTTTTTTCCCAGAGTTACTCAGTTGTAACAGTGCACTTTGAAATATGAAATACGACACACCAGGGAAATTATGTTGATTCACGGCAAATGATGAATTGCAACATTGGCCATAAAGACCCTGATATATTGCTACTGGAAGACTGTGAAGATTGAACTTAAAGTTTAAGTAAAATACCAAAGATTAGATTTCACATGTTGTATCTGGTTTTACTTGATGACTAGGTTTAAGATCAACTTCATCACTCTGCGACAAGGTCTTTGATCAGTCCTTAGTGTTTGTGTTTGTCTATTTGAATGAGGCTTGCACTGCAGACATTTTATCCACTGAATTGGCATTACTTTAAAATGCAGATATGGCCGACAATCATGAAGCAATGTTGAAGACAAAAGAATGAACAGCTTTGGCTCCTGAGGCAGATTGATGTACAGCACCCCCTGGACAGGATGCTAGTCTATCGGTCGATGTACAGCACCCCCTGGACAGGATGCTAGTCTATCGGTCGATGTACAGCACCCCCTGGACAGGATGCTAGTCTATCGGTCGATGTACAGCACCCCCTGGACAGGATGCTAGTCTATCGGTCGATGTACAACACCCCGTGGACAGGATGCTAGTCTATCGGAGGGCCTTACCCCAAATCTATCTCCTTAATGCTGAGGGCCAAGCAGAGACACATCAGGTCTCATTTATACAGTCTTTGGTGTGACTTGGCTGGGAATCGAACTCCCAACCTTCCAATTTCAGAGAGGAAGCTCTAACCACAAGGCCACTGAGGCGGTTTGATCTCTAAAGTGCAGGCCTCACATCCTGCGGTGTTCATTGCCTCATATCCTGCGGTGTTCATTGCCTCACATCCTGCGGTGTTCATTGCCTCACATCCTGCGGTGTTCATTGCCTCACATCCTGCGGTGTTCATTGCTGATGGTGAGCTAAGATGATCCCGAGCTTCGACATGGATTCACATATTATTCACTACAACTTTCTGGCTATAGCTGTCGTCAGTTTCCAGAATGTCGTCTTTGGACTAGACTATTATAAGTAGAGAAACGTGCTATGACAACAAGACAACCCACTGGACACAGACGTCAGTTCAACTTCTAGTTCGGATTTACTTTTGGGTAGAGTTTTCAACTAATGTGAATTCAACATGAAATCAACAAAAATGTTCACCATGTCATTGGATTTAGGTTAAAAGTTGGGTGGAAAAAATACGAAATGTCCTTACGTTGATGACTTTTTGCAAATCCAATTAGTTTTCCACATTGATTCAACATCATCGCATAGATTTTGGCGGTTGAAATGACATGGAAACAATGTTGATTCAACCAGTTTTTGTCCCAGTGGGAAGTGAATATATGATCATCACGTATGGATGAAACTTCCTGAATTTTGTGTGTTGCTTCAGGATTAGAGTGGTCAACAAATACACTGTTATGCTACTGACAACTGTATGTTGTATCACCATGACAACATACACTGTTACAGCACTGACAACCTTCTGTTGTATCACCATGGCAACATACACTGTTACAGCACTGACAACTGTCTGTTGTATCACCATGGCAACATACACTGTTACAGCACTGACAACTGTCTGTTGTATCACCATGCCAACATACACTGTTACAGCACTGACAGCTGTCTGTTGTATCACCATGACAACATACACTGTTACAGCACTGACAACTGTCTGTTGTATAACCATGGCAACATACACTGTTACAGCACTGACAACTGTCTGTTGTATCACCATGGCAACATACACTGTTACAGCACTGACAACTGTCTGTTGTATCACCATGGCAACATACACTGTTACAGCACTGACAACTGTCTGTTGTATCACCATGGCAACATACACTGTTACAGCACTGACAACTGTCTGTTGTATCACCATGGCAACATACACTGTTACAGCACTGACAACTGTCTGTTGTATCACTATGCTTTCTTTATATGACCATGACTGAAGAGTCTCTCTCTATCCCAATTCCTCCTCCTCCTCTTCCTCTTTGAATTCGATTGGCTGTGACAGGCCTTACGGAACTGTCCAACAACCAGGTGTCCATGGACATGGAGAGAAGGAAGTCGCCCACCTCAGGTAATGCCTCATTCACTCACAGACTCACACCTGTGTGTCCCTGCACACACACACACACACACACACACACACACACACACACACACACACACACACACACACACACACACACATACACACAAACACACACACACACACATACACACAAACACACACACACACACACACACACACACACACACACACACACACACACACACACACACACACACACATTCAAAATCATATTATCCCAAACATTAACCCTAACCCTAACTCCTAACCCTAACCCTAACCCTAACCCTAACCCTAACTCTTAACCCTAACCCTAACTCCTAACCCTAACCCTAACTCCTAACCCTAACCCTAACTCCTAACCCTAACCCTAACTCTTAACCCTAACTCCTAACCCTAATTCTTACCCTAACCCTAAATGTAACCCCTAAACCTAAAATTGCCTTTTTCCTTGTGGGGACCAGTAACATCTACACACTTTTCCGAATTTTGCTTGTCCTCACAAGTATAGTAAAAAACACACAAACATCACACACATTCCCCACATCCCTTCACAGGGCTGTCATATCTGATCAGTACTGAAGGTCATGCTGGGATACAGGTCTGTTTCAGCAGTCATGTTACTGGGGTATGGACACTGTACCTGTTACTGGGGTATGAACACTGTACCTGTTACTGGGGTATGGACACTGTACCTGTCACTGGGGTATGGACTCTGTACCTGTTACTGGAGTATGGACACTGTACCTGTCACTGGGGTATGGACACTGTACCTGTTACTGGGGTATGGACACTGTACCTGTTACTGGGGTATGGACACTGTACCTGTCACTGGGGTATGGACACTGTACCTGTTACTGGGGTATGGACACTGTACCTGTTACTGGGGTATGGACACTGTACCTGTCACTGGGGTATGGACTCTGTACCTGTTACTGGGGTATGGACACTGTGCCTTTCACTGGGGTATGGACTCTGTACCTGTTACTGGGGTATGGACACTGTACTTGTCACTGGGGTATGGACACTGTACCTGTTACTGGGGTATGGACACTGTGCCTTTCACTGGGGTATGGACACACTACCTGTTACTGGGGTATGGAAACTGTGCCTGTCACTGGGGTATGGACACTGTACCTGTCACTGGGGTATGGACACTGTGCCTTTCACTGGGGTATGGACACTGTGCCTGTTACTGGGGTATGGACACTGTGCCTGTCACTGGGGTATGGACTCTGTACCTGTTACTGGGGTATGGACACTGTGCCTTTCACTGGGGTATGGACTCTGTACCTGTTACTGGGGTATGGACACTGTACTTGTCACTGGGGTATGGACACTGTACCTGTTACAGGGGTATGGACACTGTACCTGTTACTGGGGTATGGACACTGTGCCTTTCACTGGGGTATGGACACACTACCTGTTACTGGGGTATGGAAACTGTGCCTATCACTGGGGTATGGACACTGTACCTGTCACTGGGGTATGGACACTGTGCCTTTCACTGGGGTATGGACACTGTGCCTTTCACTGGGGTATGGACACTGTACCTGTTACTGGGGTATGGACACTGTGCCTGTCACTGGGGTATGGACACTGTACCTGTCACTGGGGTTTTGGACTCTGTACCTGTTACTGGGGTATGAACACTGTACCTGTCACTGGGGCATGGACACTGTACCTGTTACTGGGGTATGGACACTGTACCTATTACTGGGGTATGGACACTGTGACTTTCACTGGGGTATGAACACTGTACCTGTTACTGGGGTATGGACACTGTGCCTTTCACTGGGATATGGACACTGTACCTGTTACTGGGGTATGGACACTGTACCTGTCACTGGGGTATGGACACTGTACCTGTTACTGGGGTATGAACACTGTACCTGTCACATGGGTATGGACACTGTACCTGTCACTGGGGTATGGACTCTGTACCTGTTACTGGGGAATGGACACTGTACCTGTCACTGGGGTATGGACACTGTACCTGTTACAGGGGTATGGACAGTGTACCTGTTACTGGGGTATGGACACTGTGCCTTTCACAGGGGTATGGACACACTACCTGTTACTGGGGTATGGACACTGTGCCTGTCACTGGGGTATGGACACTGTACCTGTTACTGGGGTATGGACACTGTGCCTTTCACTGGGGTATGGACACTGTACCTGTTACTGGGGTATGGACACTGTGCCTGTCACTGGGGTATGGACACTGTACCTGTCACTGGGGTATGGACTCTGTACCTGTTACTGGGGTATGGACACTGTACCTGTTACTGGGGGTATGGACACTGTACCTGTTACTGGGGTATGGACACTGTACCTGTTACTGGGTTATGGACACAGTGCCTTTCACTGGGGTATGGACAC